TATACATATACACACACACACGCACGATATATACACACACACACACACACGATATATACACACACACACATGATATATATATACACACACACACACACACATGATACTTGAATATTTTTCTCTAAAATAAATTATAAAAGCTAAAAAGTTAAACAACTGTTTAAGTGATAATCTTTTTCGGTGTTATGAGTGATGATGAAAATTTTCTAAAGTAATTTACTTTTTCACCCTCTCTCCCACAGAGGCAATTTCTCCTAAGACATTCTGGACCATTGCTGTCACATCTTGGACTGCCTGAAGTTTTTCCTTCAATGACTTCTTTTCTTCCTGATAAAGCACAGCACCAAAACTCAAAATATCAATAGATATAATCACAGAACAATATGACTAATATACGTGCTTTGAGATGACAGATTTTTAAATGACTCGAAAGATATTGCTTTTCTATAATCAAGAATATACAGAGAATTTTTCCCTTAGAATACAATAGCGTGTAAAATATTTTCACATGGCTTGTTTTTAACTCCCTTTGGGTCAATAATGTGATTACAATTTAAGATGTTTACCATATTTATGAACCTCTACAAGTACATGCTTTGTACCCTCAAAATTCACTTTGCTATTCAACAACTAGTGAAACTTACAATCGTGTGATAAGTTCTGTAACAATTAAAAAAAGATTAATAGTAAATTTTATACTCCCTTCTGTTGACCATGTGAAGCAGGAAAACAAAACACTTTGCTTTTACATCCTACTGCCAGCGTTGTATTCAAAGAAATGAAACTGTACATCTAATCTTTACTTACACCCTTAGAATCTTTACTTTCATCATCTTCTTCATCATCATCATCTTCAACATCCTATATTAGCGGAATAAAATGATCTCTTAAACATACTAGCTTAAAATATTAAGCTTCTGTAATTGTGTAAAATCATTTTATTGCTTTGAATAATAAGTTATGTTGTAAACAATTATGTAAATGGATGCAAGTTATTAATTAAACTATTATAAAGAGCTTAAGAACAAACTACACAAATAACAAGACTGTAAATAAAAAAAGGAGCGAATAAAGTAAATTAAAGATTAAAAGATAACTTTTGTCAGATGTTAAATTGCATCACATTAAATATAACTTTTCTTTACTTGCTAGCGTAAGTCACTTTTATGACTCTCTTAAAATAGCATTTTATTAGAAAGTATGCCAATCACTGTCCCTTTAAATAAACCTACTTAAATGCTACCCTCTATAGTCATCCTCAATTTCGAACTACGACTAAAAGGAAGGCAGTTGGTCACCAGCACTGAGGGCTACTCTTATCTGAGTGAATACTGGGATTTGACCTTCACCCTTATTATGCACATACAGCCCCAAAGTATGGAAAACAATTATTTTTATTTGCTAATGGAACACAAATAATGGAAACACAGATCTACAATTCAGCATGCTAACTACTGGGCTACATATGGTCCATCTTATTTCACACTTGTCAAAGTAATATAAAGTGAACATTTTTCTACTCAATGAAATAGTGTACAAAATACACTTAAACTTTCAAAACAAGAAATATTGTTTTTCAGAAAAAAAAAAACTGCTATAGAAGGGTATTTGATGTTCAGCTATAGGCTATACCCAAGTGTTGCTGTAAAAAAGTATGCTCGCTTAATAAGTACCTAAATGCAAATAACAAAGTTTCAGACTTGACAATTTAAGGTATACTGTGTAGCTCAACATCAAACTAGATAAAGACATCGTCTTGTTAATAAAAACAACAGTTGTAGTAATTACCTCTTCTTCATCACGACTTGAAAAGCTTAGCCCTGTCGTGGTAATGATGGCGTAGTTCTTCAGGAAGATGAGGAGGATGATGATAGGCATCATGTACAGCTGCATGGTATAGGTAATCACCAGGAATGTCTGTTTGAAATATAAATATATTGCCTTTAATCTAACTCACGCTGACTAAGAAGGAAGTCTGAAGCTAGATTTCTTTGCAAACAACTTCTGAAACTTTAAAATTCTCATTCTACAGCTTCCATAAGGAATTATTTCTATCACACCAAATAAAAGCTAAGTGTACTCACAAACAGGATATGACAGTAAATAAGCCTAATAAAAGCTATAGACATAAATAACTCCTTTTAACTCACAATAAACAATAAACTATATTAAATAACTAACAATAAACTTGATAGAGATATGAATATTTATCAGCTAAGAGTTTTTGGCTCTTTGAGTCTCAACTTCTTTGTCTGGATACCTGTAAGTATATCAAAAGTTTACTTAGGCAGACAGTCCCATTTATTAACTGTTCAGATACATTAAAAGAAAAATATATATAAACACACAGTCACTGCATATGTAAAGGTATATTTCTGATCAATCTGAACATCACTGGGAAACATCATCTCGTCCCATTCCTCAGTTAGTGTAACACCCCAATGACCTAACATTACATGCCCACAATCTTTTCACTATGGAAGTAGATACATCCGAATGAAGTATTAATTATCTCTGTCTGTACGGTTTTCAAGATTTAAACAGTCTCTACTTCCATAAGAATCCTCTGTCCACCACAAATAGGTAACACTGTTACACAGAAACAGCAACCAAAACTGAAGTAATCACTGAAGCAACAAATCAGAAAATTAGGAAGCGTGAAGACGAAATGGGGTATTGTATTTACAAGGTAGGAAGCATGCACAAAATACACTGAGGAGCATTGCATTTTGATAACAAAAATTGTCAAATGTGTACATAACTAATGTATTGCATTTTTGTACATTTAATTTATCTGTCAAAAAACCTTATTATTTGTGTGTGTGTGTGTGTGTGTGTGTGTGTGTGTCACAAGTAATTTAATACTTATTTCTAAATCACTCGCAGTACAAAATAAATTCAGTCATAAATAAAAAAAATAATTATCTACAAACTTTAGAATAAGTTTCATAATATATTCGAAATTTTCTTTATTTTCAAAATATTTATTTTATTATGATAAGTACCATATTTAAAACTAGACTGTGTTAAATGAAATTTTATCGAAGGTACTAAAATTTTTCACACTTACAATGAAAGCTACGATACTTCGTGGAGCAGATTCCCACTGAAAACAGCTGTTTAGGAATTTGGCTACTTCAACAAAATCTAGTGCTATTGTTCTTATCCTTTGTACATTTCTCATAAATATCTGTATTGAAATAAGAAAAAATACAGAAGGAAAGTTTCATCTGGATGTTGATGATAAAAAATAAAGATAAATCAATACAGGCCTGAATCACAGCCAGAATAAGTAGATCTCCGAAATAAATACACACGTCTAGCAAATCTGTCCCTAACTAAACATCTCCTTGAACAATGTTATCTGTAACTGAGTCAACTAAAGCTTATAAATCTGTTTTCATTTCATTAGCATGAAAACAAGCATTATTCAGTTAAATGTTCTACAATAGACAAGTGTTTTTATTAGCTATTTTCCTACTTATCACTGATGAATGTTCTACAATAGGCAAGTGTTTTTATTAGCTATTTTCCTACTTATCACTGATGAATGTTCTACAATAGGCAAGTGTTTTTATTAGCTATTTTCCCCCCTTATGACTGATGAATGTTCTACAATAGGCAAGTGTTTTTATTAGCTATTTTCCTACTTATCACTGATGAATGTTCTACAATAGGCAAGTGTTTTTATTAGCTATTTTCCTACTTATCACTGATGAATGTTCTACAATAGGCAAGTGTTTTTATTAGCTATTTTCCTACTTATCACTGATGAATGTTCTGCAATAAGCAAGTATTTTTATTTTTTTCATGCATTAAAGAACTGAGGTACTTAATACTATATGTGACTGACTTTTATAAAAAAAAAAGTTATTTTTTAAGACCTTGTTTACATGAACTGCAGTTTTTTAGGTTTTTTCAGGGTACTTATTGCTACCTACATATGATTTATTAGAAATATTGATTGAAAAGAAAGAAATAGCTAAATACCACAAATGAAATAATTCAACCTAAGCTATCTGACTCCACCGTGCATTCAATAAAACTCAGTATATGTATTATACTTTAATTTCTTCAACAACTGTATGATTTGTTTTTAAATGGGTATGTAGACATATTGCAAATGTAGAAGTGTTTTGTATTCATTTTGTTTAGTAAATCATTTACTCTTCTGAACTTTTATCTAGATAAATAAACATCAATGTGTGTGTGTGTGTGTGTGTGTATTCTTTTCCTTATACATTTCCACATTTCTTGATCAACCAGCACCAAACTTAACACAGTGACACGATGAAGGTCATGAGGGGGGTTGGACCCCCATATAATTTCATAGTGTTAGAATTCTTGAAAACAGAATGTCTTTCTTTTCACTATTAGGACCTTTATATATTTTTATTGCACTGTTAATGTTTATTATTTTAAGATAAAATATAGAAGCACAATTTCCTATCGTTACAAACAAGATTTTATTTCACCCGTCCAACGAACTGGTACTCCAGGTAGTATAATATAATACTTAAGTAATATTTTCAGATCTAAAGTAGTTACTGACTACACTCGTACTTCAGACAAAAGTTAGTTTTACATCCTTGATTCAAGTTTCTTTTCTCAAGCGTATTGCTTTATCTTCCATTAAAAAATAGCCTGATAAGTTATAGTCAAGTCTAGCCCGAGATGGGGACGTACGAGTAATGTACAGAGTGGATACAACAGTAGTACAATCCCTAAATAGGAAATTCTGTGTTTTAAACAATACCAGTCTAGGATCAGTGTTTTAACATTCTGTAGATACACTCTTCAATTTGCCACATTATAATAACTTTTGGATACAAAACTGAAACTTTGAAACTATATACACTTATTTTTAACACCAATCTATTTATTTCAAGAATATTCTTAAATAATAAGAAAAACTCAAATATCCATTAATTACAACAATACATTTTTATGAAATATTTACAATGCCAAAAACAAATATAATTAGCTTCGATCAAGTCTCCCAGTGGATCAACAATAAGTCTTAAGGCTTATAACATTAAAAACCAGGTTTGTATACCTGTGGTGGGCACAGCACACAGACTGCCTATTGTGTTGGTTTGTGCTTAACAATAAATAAACAAAAAAGTTTAAACAAAATAAAGATACTAAAACCTACCGATCGCTTAAACTTCTGTTCAGGTTGCATATATTTAACTTCTTTTGGATTGAATGTTCTTACAGCTACTTTTATCTATAAAAAAATCAATAAACAAACATTTGTAAAGAAGAAAGCATTATGTTCCTGAAATTGTTTTTTTTTCAATTGGATAAAAAAATAAATGAAAAAATTGTATCATACTGAGAAATTTCTGTGAACATTAAAGAATATCATATGTACAAGGAAGCATTGAACTTACAACTATACTAACTTAGACTACTCAAAATTTTTAGTGATAATATGAATAAAATGAACAATAAATTAGAAAAGTCTTCTTATGAATGAATATTTCTGATATATAGCATTAAATAAACAGTAAAATGGGTATTTAACTACAATTGAAGTAAATGAAGACGTTATTTATCCTTGGTTATTCAACACATATGGAAACTTGATAAACTTTTTCAAAGTTAGGAACCTAAAAAAATAATTGTTAAGTTAGGAAATACTTACCGTATTTTTCGGTGTATAAGACGCACTTTTTTACCCCAAAATTTGATGTCAAAATCTGCTTGCATCCTATACACCGAAGGTATGAATAATATATATGTATATATACGATATACACAAGCAATGTGTAAATATATTTAAATAGGCATGCATAGTTTAGTTCAATTGAATGTGTTATTTATAGCAATAGCAGTTTTTCTTTTTCCTTTTAAAAACATAACTATTTATAATGCTCCCTAAATAATAAAAAAGAAATTACAGTGAAAGCAATGAAGATTTTGTAGGTTTTGAACCAAACTAATAACAGTAAACCTTTTTTTGATTTATGGTATTTTCTTATTTTGATGTTTTGAGCTCCTTTGTGTTTAGAACAATATATATACTAATTTTAAAAGTATCAAATTGAAATTTTGTTCAATAAAAATCTTTCAAATGAGACTGTAGATTTTTTCCCCAAAATTTTGTCTTCAAAATAAGGGTGCGTCTTATATTCCGAAAAATACGATAATATACACCTACTACACTAGTGTAGAAACAACAAAGTGACAAACTGGAACCTCACGTTTTTTTTATATTAAATTTTGCTTCACCATTTCTTTGAATTATTCTTATTGTTGAATACACGTGTACTCTGTGCCGTTTCGTTGCTGTGCTTTTGCACATGTAGTTGGTATTTGCAAAGAAATTTCTTTTGTCTCAGTGTTACATCTATTTTACAAGGTTCACATTTTTTTACAGTGTATCTAGTACAGCATATAAAAGTAAAATATAAACATTTCAACAATTAATAAATGCACTCTTTAAAAGTAATCATATTGAATCCAACAACAATAAAATTATTAGTTCTGTTATATAATCCCGCAAAAATTATAACGAGAGAGTGTGTTTTCTAATTATAATTTTTGCGGGATTGTATAACAGAACTTTTAATTTTATTGGCTGGCTTAACAGGAGACAGATGACTGCTCGGACAGACATGACGGTTCACAGTATATGCAGGCAAAGCTTAACATTCACTTTTGAAATGATAGAAGAACAAGCGTGAATAATGTTGATGCCAAATTATATTTCTCAAGTAAGAAATTCTACACTAAATTGTTAGGAATTAATCACACTATCATTTACATTTCAAAATATGATGCAACTTAAAGCATAAAAATGTAAATTTACCTTATATTATTGTTGAGTGGCTCTTAGTATGACTGAAATGCTCAACAATTACTTTTTGCATTAGATTAACTTAAATAGATTAATTTAAACTTTTCTGTCACTGGGGATGGGTATTTTTGCTAAATTAACTTAAACTTTTCCTGTCTACATACTGTTTCCTAATGACTATGAAAACAATTGTTCACTTTTTCAGTATTATTATACCAATACTAAATTAAATGTAGACTGATTAAGATTGGTCTATCAATACATGTTTTAATAATAATAAATTTATTTCTCATATCTATTTTAAGTTACAAATCCTTTAACCTCTCGTTACAATTGGTTCATCTGACCAGTAAAGTGCCAACATCATCCAAAAATTTTAGAAGTTTCAACATGACTAAAACTGCAAAATATAAGAAAAGAATTTAGAGTTAAATTTAAACATCAAGTCAGTTCAAAATTTCCCCAGGAATAAATACAGGAATACAGCATATGTATGGAGTTAGAATAAGAACAGAACTTTTCAAAAGTAGTCACACAAAAAATTGTCTACATGAAAAATTTGCAGCCAAAAAAATTAACACATCATTATGTCATGGTCAGTCATTTAAACTTTGCAAAGAATCACAAAAATAGAGAGAATAAATGGAACAACAACAACAAAAAAACAAAAGACTGGGACATTGTTGGAAGACCATACAATCACTTAGGTATTTATACAAGTTGCTAACCTTGACAACAGTTGATGTCCAATTACAATAACCTTACTGCAAGTAACTTAAACATTGGATTTTTTGGAAACTAGGAGAATTCTCAGGTGAAGACACGTTACCAGGAGCTTTAGTTAATTATGAAAATAAAAACAGACATAGTTTTTGGCTTGTAATGGTGTCAGGATGTTTCTTTCTGCAGGAGATTCTTGTAAATTTGATGGTATGAAAAAATGAAGTAGTACATCAACATCATGGTTCATCAAACAGTATCCATTAGATGATGTTTGAATTTTAGTAACACATCATGGTTCATCAAACAGTATCCACTAGATGATGTTTGAATTTTAGTAACACATCATGGTTCATCAAACAGTACCCATTAGACAATGTTTGAATTTTAGTAACACATCATGGTTCATCAAACAGTATCCACTAGATGATGTTTGAATTTTAGTAACACATC